TGGAAGTGTTCTTCTCCCGCACGGCTCGGGATAACCGGCTGGGCTGCATGTTCGTGCGTTGTGCCCCCACTGGTCGGTACACGCTGCTCTTCTCGCACGGTAACGCTGTGGACCTGGGCCAGATGTGCAGCTTCTACATCGGCCTCGGCTCCCGCATCAACTGCAACGTCTTCTCCTACGACTACTCTGGCTACGGGGTGAGCACCGGGAAGCCCTCCGAGAAAAACCTGTATGCAGACATTGATGCGGCCTGGCAGGCCCTCAGGACAAGGTAAATGGGGACTGGGGACAAGGTATTTTTCTCTTTTTAAGCAGAATAAGTCCAGTGTCTGCACACTTAACCTGCTGAGAAGTGGAGGAAAAGGTCTTGTAGGTGGTTTGAGTTGCTTCATTGGCCTCACCACGTGTTCCATCAACAGCTACAGTGTGGTTTCCTGGAAGGCTTAATTTGTTAAATGGATGCACATGTCTCATCCTTGGGCTTTCTCTAGGTTTAGGGGTTTGGTCAGCTCTGCCATTGCTAATCTCCATCTCGAGTGGGACATCCTGTACTGGTGGCAGTTTAAATGTGCAGGATGGAAAAAATACCTTTCTGTTTGAGACTTGCCTGCTACTGTCTACACCTAAAGGTAACCCATTTGGGCCTAAATGCTGACTGAGTTTGGCAGTAGCCTAGGCCAGTGCTTACCAAGAAGCTGCTGGTGCTCTCTGATGTGTCTGGGGTTTCACCTAAGCTCGTACCACATCAATACGTTTCTTCTTTGGCAACCAAACAACTGTTCTCAAATTAGGTAGGGTAGCGAAGTGGAAGGAAAAAGTGTTGACAGGTGGAAGTAGAGCTGGGGATTCTGCCAGGAGGAGATGCCGAAGTAGGTGGCATCCAAAGGGATGGAGCAGCAATGAGAAAACTCTGGCAAGGCAGCATGGCCAGTAGGAATAGGGAGCCCTTGTCTTCTAGGAAGTCCTGAGCAAAGCTGCTGCCTTTGGCTCCTCGCCACACCCGATTGCCATCCCTTGGCCTCTGTTTCTTCTGTCCACAGAAAATACGAGCTCTTTTTGGTGTTGCATAAGTAGTTCTTAAAGTAGGACCTCAAAGAACATATCCTGAAAGAGAGAGCTTTAAAAAGCTTAAATTGTTACAGTAGGGCAAGAGAAAAGAACTATAAACTGTTTCTGTTCTTAGCTCTGGGATTGGATAGATGAACTTGGCTTATGTGAAATGAGTATTTAATGTCTATCTTAGGGATACATACCAGCTTCAAAAATAGTGACAGGACTTGTTGCTAATTTAGATAATTGGCTTTTCGAGGATCTGAGGATTGGTCAGTTGTGGAGTCCAAACGTCTTTTGACATTGATCTGCCCAGGTCAAGTTAAGAGCATGGGGGAAAAAGGTGTAGGGGGAAGTTACTCTTTTGTAGCCTGTGTTCCGTGTGTTTGGTGGGTAAAGCAGATTCTGGATTCACTTTCCAGGACATGCTCTCAAGAAGAACAAAATAAAAATTGTTTTAATATAAAAAATAATTTTGATATGCTGAACGCAGAATGAATTACTAAGTACCTCTGTTATCTTATGGGTGATGTAAAGAAGGTTTAAGGGAGGAAAAGTGCTATATTTAAGCCAGGCCTGGTTGATGCTTGTCCTTCATTTGCTGTGTTTTCTCTGTTTCACTAATGTTCAGTTGATGGTATTTTTTTAATTAAAATCTCCTAGAGTTCTGAAAAAGTGCTTTCACATCTCCCTGGAAGTGCTCCTGTCTTGACAAGCATTTACCACATGTTTAGGATCTTTGTAGATCCAGAAGCAAGGTGTTCCTTCACCTTAGACTCTCTCGTGAGAAGCCTGACCCAGTAGGTGATGCCAGCACATGCCTAGATAGCTTTGAGAAGATTGGGCTCCTTCTATAGACGTGTCACTGGATAAGTTTTGTAACAGTTTTATATTAGAGGCCTTTGTGGTTTTTACAAGATGTAGGTTCTGCTTTCCTCCTTATATGGAGGGGTTGAAGTTTGCCAACTGTTACTTGGCCATGTTTGTAAGTCCCACTTCTTAGTGCTAGCTGGAGAATACGGTTAGAGTAGTTGTGTTAGATTGGTTAGATTTTTGGGAGCCAGAGGAAATGTTACAGTATTTTAGGTGACCAGTAAAGACATCTGTTTCTGTAAAATGTAAGCTTAAATTAAAAAAGCGAATCGATTCTATTAACAGATGACTGTCTTCATAACAGGTATGAGCTGAAACAATAGTCCTTCTGCTGATGAATTCTCTAATTAGTAGTGTGAACTTTTGAGACTGATAATTTCTTTTCCCTTTCTAGTAAGTCCAGGTAGCTCACAATTAAGTGAAATATTCTGCTGTAGAAATACAAGTCTGCCATTTTTGGTGCAGTAGTTTATTTGTAGCTTCCAAGAGTTTGTGCTTTCACTCTTAATGCAAATTCCTAACATTTGGCCTATAGTCATATGACTGTGAACTGTAATGCAATTTAAAGTGAAGACTTAAAATAGGGGAGGTTCACTAGGCCATCAAAAGCATTCAGTCATCTGGGCTATGTTCTGTGGGAAGCTGCTGCTCTTCAAAATCCACCAGACATCCCACCTGGCAGCATAAAGGAATCATGAAAATGATGGAAGTTTGAGATTCTTTCTCTTTTTTTCTTTTTTTTTTTTTCTTCAGTTGTGTCTGTGAAGTAACAATGATACTTAGCAAATGTAAATGTATCATTGTATTTTGAAAGCTGTCCTGAGTAAGGAGGCAATGCACCCTACACCTGAACAAAACAGATCACTGCCACATCTTCAACATGGCAGTGGTGGTTGTGGTGGCAAGTGTGGCTGCAAATTTTGACTGGATTTTTTCAAGGTACTGAAATGAGGGTCTTGCTGCCACATACACATTTAGGTATCAAACCTTACATAACAAATGGTTATAAAACTACTTTGTTATTAGTGGACAAAAAATAAAATCAAGTTTTTTTCATTTGGCTTCAATTATCAGCTTGTCTTTAGCGAATCAGTGTCAACTATTCTCTGTTCTTTTAGTCTTTCTACATACAGAGCAACTTATTTACCTTAACTCTAGTTAAATGCGTGTCTCTCGTCATTATAAACTAAACTCTTAAGTGACAGTTTTAGTGATTTTTAAGTTTGAATTCTAATGGACTTTCAGTCCAAGTAAATATGTATTTATTCCCTCAAAATGATTTTTTTTTATGGTTGTTCCTTCTGAGGTCTAACTGTAGCATGGGTTGCTCTAGTTCCAATATTAAGTATTAATCATTATTTTTGGCTTTTATATATATTTATTTCCATTTGATTAAAGCATTGCCATCTGTTGAGTCAATGTTTCTCCAAAGGAGCTTTGTTTCATTGCTTCGGATGATACTGTGTTTTATTTTAGGCAGGTTGGGTTTGTTTCTTTTGGGTTTGTTTCTCTTATGTTTGTTTGAAAACTGGAATGAGGCTGAAGAAAAGCTGTATTGGACTCTGTCTTCTCACATGGTCCATATGGTTTTAAGTTGCTGCTTTTTATTGAGATGTGATTAACTCTTATCCTAATATCTGATTGACTTAGTACAACATCTGCACAGAATGACTTGATTGTTGTCCTCCCCCCCCCTTTCCGGAATTCCACATGGAAAGGTTGAACTTTCTAACACTTTTGCATTAAGACAATGTACAGCACTTAAAAACAGGATGCACACTTAGGGTTTGGGTACAGTGCTTAAGCACAAAACCATGTCTGCTTTGTTTATTGCATGCTATTTATATTAAAATAAAATTGTATGTTCTCTAAAAATTTGGAGATGTAGGAAATGTTTTAAAATCCCAGTTAAATGAAAGAATGTACTACTTCCCTACTCTTTCTGCTTCTGTAGTAGGGTATCAGAAAGGAGAACCTAGTAGTCAACCTTTTGGATATTGAAAGGAGGTGAAGAAAATGTCATTAGTAAATAGCTTAGAAAAGCTGTTCCTGTTGCATTTAACAAAATCTAGCTTGCTGTTTTTTCATGATGCAAAATATAAACTAGTATAAGCTTTTGATACATGATTGTTGTTATTGTGATGTTCAAATCCTTAATTCTTAAAATGTGTACAGTTGGGTTTGTTTTTAAGTCTCTAGGAGAGCACTGGTTCACTTTCCTTTTTTTGTTAAGCTTCTTAGTTGATATGGCACGATGAAAGGAATTGAATTGTGAAATGGTATAGTAAAATGCACAGGATTTTAATCAATGGATGGCAGATCATGTAGGCTGTTTAAATAGGGCTCCTTACACTTTTTCTTCAGTTTTATTGTTAAAAAAACCCCACCTTTTAATGGGAATTTTATTATTTGTGGTGCTGATTGTGAGTCTTCTCTTATTGCTGCTTCCTTTGCAGGAGCTGGTAAAAAAGTGTTGAAGAGTTTTCAGTTGAGTAAAATTAGGAAACACACATAATTGGATTAGACTAGAATGATAACTAATCTTCTGAGGTTTTGTCAGTTTAGTTCTCCATTCTGATTTGCTGAAGTGGTTACAGCTTTCTAGGTGAATGATTGCTTTAGGGTTTTTTACCTTGATTTGTCCAAATAGTTAATTTCTACATCAGTTTTCTTTGCGACAGGATCTTACTTCACTACCATGGTGTTTCTGTCCATGATCCCACCTGAGTTCTTTAGTTTGAATACTTAAGAAGTTTTGATTAAAACTTACCAACTAAATTCCTGGCATGGCCAAAGGCAAAACAGTTGTAAATAGTCCTGGAGTAACAGGGTTACCCTTGTTCATGATGCATCACCTGGGAGATTTTTCCTTGTCTTTGACAGAGTATTCTCCATTTTTTTAGTCATGTTGATACAGTGTTTGCAAAGAATTGTTTAATGAGTTCTGTAAAACTGAACTTATTTTATCTTCTGTGTTCAGTGCTTCAAGAAGAACTGCATACAACTTTGCTTAAAAATAGAAACATCCAGACTAGTCTCCTGTTTGTTGTCTATGCCGTGAGCAGAGTGTAATGCAGATGATGAGTCCCAGGGACAAGTACCAACAACTGTTTAAAACAGGTGCTCTGATGTTCAAAGTTATTCAAAATGTTAACTGAGCTTTGGTGTTGCATTACGTAGTTTAGTCACTCAAGTAAAAGTAGTTTTGTTAAATATTTCCTTATTTCTGTCAGGACTGAAAGATCAAAGCTTGTTTAAAAAATAAATAAATAAATACTGATTTATCACTCTCGAGAATGTTTTGCAACGGTTGTTACTTGGGAAGAAAAATAAGCTGCTGGAGCGCCT